AGTGAAAATTAAAAGATGCGAAACCAAAATAAAATTTCTAATATGATTCAATGATTTTAAGTGCAACACTTCAAAATTTATGTGCCTTAAAATACATTGAGGCGGAGGGTTGAATATAGAAAATTCTTAATCTTACATGTATACGGGATGAATGCTTTATTTAAAAAAGGGATTTGGAATTCAACCCTATCATTTTTATTGTGGACATGAAAATTTAATGCACTTCAAGAAAAGGAGGCTCTTATTGTGGGCATGAAAATTTAATGCACTTCAACAAAAGGAGGCTCAAATAAAAAGAGAAAAGAGAAAAGAAAGATGGCGAGAGCATTACGGCATCTAAATTTGAAAGTTCAAACCAATTCATGAATTACTAAACTTGAAAGAAAGTATAAGTAGCGTCTGGAATTTGCAATGCAAGAATTGAGAGGTTATGTGATAACGACTCATATTGAGTCCAATAATGTAATTTCATCATCTGATTTTTATATCAATATATTTATTTTTTTAATATAAATAACTTATTGAATGGTTTTACAAAATAAATTATTTAGTGGATCCAAAATAGATCCCACAGACAGACACACCAAGGCACAATAAACATTCAACATAAATGTCACTAAAAATCAATGAAGTAAGCAAATCTCTTAGTTACTGAGCAGGTACGGGCTTAGAGAAGGTTGTTAAACACTGATTGTTTCTTACTTTTTATTTATTGAGGGAAGAAAAAAAAATCATAGTTATTGCAAATTTTTATTTTATTTGAAAGATAATTTATATTTTCTCATGTAACTTTCCAACTACCCATCTTGCGCCATATATAGTTGAGTTCTTCTAAAAGAAAAATAAACGTCAACTCATTACCTTTGTGAAGTTACAAGGCCAACCTCAATAGTAGTTATAATTTTTTTTGTCACGATTAAAATAACTATAGCTGCCCATTATCCATTGATTAATCTTATGTTTATGTTGCAGGCAATAAAGACCAGTCTTCCCTTAATAGTATAGTTAGCTATCTGATTAAGAACATGTTAAAATACCCGAGTCGGTATCTTGGGGATTAGACAGTTCATAGTTTTGGAGTGATGCTTAAACCAAATTGACTGTCCTAACATACCACCACCACCATCCCTAGGGATGGCAATTTGAACTCGGCCTGACGGGGACCCGGACCGCCCCATCCCGATAAGACGGTTTTTCTCCAAAAATTACCCCTCATAGGGCCGGGGCTAATATTAAAAATAAATCCCCTACAGTTTTCGGGCCAGGGATGGGAATAAGTTCTCCGGCCCCGGCCCCGCCCCGAATCTATCCCCGAACTTATCCCCGTATATATATACTTTTCTATTCACTCATTTACACTCATTTATTCACTCTCTATTCATTGATTTCACTAAATCAATTCTCCTCTACACTACTCTCTTTCTCTCTTTCTCTCTCTCTCTCTCACACCCTAATCTAGATTTCATCTTCGTCTTCGTCTCACCCTAAGCCCCTTTTCTCTCTCTTCTCCTAACCTCCGTTGCTGCCTTGTCACCGACTCACCACCAATCGTCAATCGAAGAACCACTCTATTCTCTCTTCTCTCTTCTCCTTTGTCACTCTCGCTCTCACTCTTTCTCTCTCAGATTTGATTACACTCTCTCAGACCTCTGTTGCTCTCTCTCACACATTTGAAACCTTAACCTTAAACCCACGTCGATCGAAGCGGAGAAGGAGCCATCAGAGACGACGTCGTCCCACCACCTCTACCACCGCCTCCGCCGATCGCCAACAAATCGTGAATCACCACCTTCGTTGCCACCGATCACCGATTTGAAAAGATCGTGAATCGTGAAGCCCTTAGATCTCAGATCTAAAAATCATGATTCATGGAAAGTGAACCGTGAAGCTCTCTCTCTCTCTCTCTCTCTCTCTCTCTCTCTATATATATATATATATTTAAGAACATGTTAAAATACCCGAGTCGGTATCTTGGGGATTAGACAGTTCATAGTTTTGGAGTGATGCTTAAACCAAATTGACTGTCCTAACATACCACCACCACCACCCCTAGGGATGGCAATTTGAACTCGGCCTGACGGGGGCCCGGACCGCCCCATCCCGATAAGACGGTTTTTCCCCAAAAATTACCCGTCATAGGGCCGGGGCTGGTATTAAAAATAAATCCCCTACAGTTTTCAGGCCAGGGATGGGAATAAGTTCTCCAGCCCCGGCCCCGGCCCCGCCCCGCCCCGAATCTATCCCCGAACTTATCCCCGTATATATATACTTTTCTATTCACTCTCTATTCACTGATTTCACTAAATCAATTCTCCTCTACACTACTCTCTTTCTCTCTCTCTCTCACACCCTAATCTAGATTTCATCTTCGTCTTCGTCTCACCCTAAGCCCCCTTTCTCTCTCTTCTCCTAACCTCCGTTACTGCCTTGTCACCGACTCACCACCAATCGTCAATCGAAGAACCACTCTCTTCTCTCTTCTCCTCTGTCACTCTCGCTCTCACTCTTTCTCTCTCAGATTTGATCACACTCTCTCAGACCTCTGTTACTCTCTCTCACACATTTGAAACCTTTACCTCAAACCCACGTCGATCGAAGCGGAGAAGGAGCCACCAGAGACAACGTCGTCCCACCACCTCTACCACCGCCTCTGCCATTCCACCACCGCCTCCGCCGATCTCCAACAGATCGTGAATCACCACCTCCGTTGCCACCGATCACCGATCTGAATAGATCGTGAATCGTGAAGCCCTTAGATCTCAGATCTAAAAATCATGATTCATGGAAAGTGAACCGTGAAGCTCTCTCTCTCTCTCTCTCTCTCTCTCTCTCTCTATATATATATATATATGTATGTATGTATCATCTCATTGATTTTTCAATACATATAAATATAGATTAACTTGTATGTATTTATGTACGTATCATCTCATTGTTGTTTTTGATTATTGATGATGTTGTTGTTGACGAAGAAGAAACAGAGGATTATTGTTGTTAGATTATTATTGTTGTTCATTGTTGTTCATCTCAGATCTAACACAGATTATTATTGTTGCTACTGTTTTTTTTTTTTTTTTTTTTGCCCGGGGGGGGGGGTTGTTTTTTTTTTAACTTTTTTGGGGACGGGGGGGACGGGGATGGGGACGATGACAGGTTCCCCGTCGGGGATCAGGATCAAGGACGGGAAAAATTTCACCATCAGGGATCGGGGACGGGGAGGGTGATCCCCGGCCCCCCCCCGGCCCGTTGCCATTCCTAACCCCCCCCCCAAAAAAAAAATCTAAAAGCTAAAACATGTAAACTACATTATTATTATTTGATTGAAGAACCGTGATTGGGACCCCCAATTGCCCCCCAACCCTACACCATGTGGAGGTTGGTTATTGAAAGGAAAAAAAAAAAAAATTGCTGGCCAATCAAACCCTACTGGGGGTTCTAGGGGTCACCCCCCAGTGGGGGTCTGAAACAATTCTGTTGATTGAATAAGCACAAGATTTAGATGTTGCTAAAAAAAAAATTAAAAAAAAAAATAGAGAAATAAGGAATACAATTTAGAAGATTGACCCCATTGGCTTTAATATTAAAATCATCAATTAGATCATAATTGTTAAACTAATAGTCATTAGGATTGACACACCTCAAATCTTTCTATTGTCTCTCTGTTTCAAAATACTCACTCCCACAATATCATTAAAAATTTCAAAATACGATAATCTTAAGACATAATTCAACAAATATAAATAGAATAAGTCTAAGAATCCAAACTTATCTTCCCAGATTTTTTTGGATAAATAATTGTGTGGTGAAGATTAAATTTGTATAGTGCAAGGCAATCTGAATCACAAAATGATAATTTTAAATAATTTTTGAATAATTAAGTTTAAATTCATAGTATTATTGATATAAATATTTTGAGACAGAAAGACGAGAATTCAGGGATAGAGATTTTCAAATCGTCATTAGATATTATTGAAAATTTTATATCTAAATTAGTCATCATAAAAGTCAATTACTATAAAGTGGAGTCAAAATTTAAATTTGACCGACTATAAAAATAATAATAATAAAATAAATAAAAATTAGTTAGACAGAAAGTCTCAGGGAGAGAGTATAATGAGTCGGTTGGCCACGTAAGGCCAATAATTCGGAGATCAGATACTTCAAAGTTAGTTTAATTAAAAGACGGGAATTCCAATACTTGCGAAGGTTTCCCAAGTAATTTCATATCGAAAAATACTAGAATAAGAGGAATTCATTTAGTCAAGTTTGCCACGCAAAAAATCATAATCGTTATCTACAGTTGTTTTAAACTTATTTACAATCTTCCTCAAAAAATAAAAAAAATAGAAAAACTTATTTACTTATTTAATTTAAAATTTTAGATTGATTTGAGAATAGATTATTTTTTTTATATTTTTGCTAAAATATGAAATGAAAAAAAAAATAATATATTTAGAATGATTTTTTAATTTTTTTATAAAAATAGAAAGAAAAAAATCTTTACTTTTTAATATATTTTGTTTAGCTTTTTAACATTTTTAATAACTTTTTGATTTCTTAACTATTATAGGAGTCGCTTTAATTTACATTTGCTAAAAACTTTAAAATAAATTATATATTTTTATAAAAATGTCTCTTAAATTTTCTAGGACTTTTTGGATACAGAATTCTGAAACAGGATTTTCGTGCAAATTTCCCTTTGTTTTATTTTTTTATTTTTTTCTGTTATTTTATTTTGATGAGATTAAATACGATTGGCGGCAAAAGAGATGTTCGTGAACAAAGAAATTACAGTGAACCTGCAAGTGTGAAAGGGCAAACTAATGACACAGTTTAACAAGTTAGATTTGACATCATGAAGACTTTTCTGTGCAAAGGCAAACAAAAAAAACTTCTTTCTTCCCTCTCTCCCTCCCTCTCTCAACTGTCTCATTCACATACTAACCAATGGCAATGCACATACAGGGGCTATAGGAATATCTTATATATATATATATGCACACAGGGAAATTGGATATTGTGTGAGTTCGAAGTCTTTATATCTTCTTCTATCTTTTGTGCTCTCTCTGTCTGTTTTCATAACAGACAGTACTCTCTGCTTTTGAAGAGCCATGGCACCTCAAGCTCCAACTGATCACAACTCTAACCCCAACAACGTAAGTCTGTGTGTGTGTTTATGTGCATATCTATCTATCTATCTATGTATCTATCTAGCCTATTATATAAAATCTACACGAGTACACATGTCACATTGATTTGATTTTCAAAAATACCCACAAGAGCAAATTGCATAAATAAGAAACAGTTACGTTATAAATTAAATAATAATTTTAAAAAAACTGTCAGTTGATTGTAAATTTCATAATAAACATGATCTTTTCAATTGCACACGTTCGTGTATATATATGCATGATGCTCGCATGCTCTCTCTCTCTCTCTCTCGCATGTGTATATATGCAGAGAATAGAGAATATGATAATGCTCTGTTTCTGCAAATGAAGTGACGGGTGTCTGATCCTCATATGCTCCAAATTTGGAGTTCAATCTAGCAATTTGTTTAGTCCACAGTTTCCCAGAACTGCTCGGTGTCAGTTTTGTGAACCATTTGCAAGAATTAATGTCTTCAGTTCTTTGGACCTCTCTCTCTCTTAAATTAAATAATAATTTTAAAAAAACTGTCAGTTGATTGTAAATTTCATAATAAACATGTTTAGGCCACAGTTTCCCAGAACTGCTCGGTGTCAATTTTGTGAACCATTTGCAAGAATTAATGTCTTCAGTTCTTTGGACCTCTCTCTCTCTCTCTTTCTCTCTCTCAAAGAGAAAACTAAGAAAAACAAAATAAAAATAAAGAAGTATCTACTAAGATCTGTATGTACATATAGGGACGTGGTGAACATGACGAGTGACAGTCTGTTCAGTTCTATTAGTCTTTCCTTATAATCCTACCTCAATTTAAACATAGGATATGTTACACAATCCAAAAGGATTCGTAGTTCTAATGCTAGTCCAACCTAATACAGTCCGCCCAAACAAACATGACCTTACTGTAAAAGCTCTTTGGACTTTGCTTAAGAAACAACAATACTATATACCTAGAAAAATTACATTACTACCCTTAAGAAAAGTTGGTAAATTTTGTTAGTTTTACTAAACATTACTATGAAGCACAAAAACTGTAGCATATGACTTGGTTAGCAGTCAAATTTTGCACTGCTTAATTGGTGTAGTGTTCGATCATCTTTTGAGTCCAACCAAACAGTTAATTGGTGGTTGGTTAAACACTACATGAAATAAGCAGAACAAAAATTGACTCTGCCTACCAAACATGTGTTACAGTCTCTGCCTAAGAAACTACCTATATCAATGTATACAGTATGCACACCTACTCAAAAACATAAAATACACAAACTGAACAATTAAATATTAATTCCGAATATGGTTGGATATTCAAGATGATTTTAAAACAAAGGCCTAAATAATCATTACAATAACAATGCTCCAAGAACACCTAATCATTTTTGGCACTTAGAGGATGGCAACAGCTAAAATTCATTGACTTTATTTACCAGAAAATACCTTTTCAATGTACCTCGGATTGTGCTAAGAAATTTGTTTTGTTCTTTAGGTTCTCTTTGGATTATAACCCAATATCACCATGTACTAATTTATTCAAATGATGTGTTAGAAATAGACTTTTAACTCAAAATACATGGTAAAATAAATTCTATATCCCCATTAATATTCACACAAAAGTTTGCTAAGTATAGTCCAAGTAATTACCTAACTAACTTTTAATCATTGTCGCATACAGATTTCATTTTTGATCTAATATTCTAAATTCTGCCATGAAGGAAACCAATGGGCATGTATGGTTTTGCTCACCAGCTAGCAATTTTTCCCCGCTCTTCAGTGAGGCACAAACTTTTCATAATCTTCCTCAAAAAATAAAAATTATTCATAATTATTATCTTCCACTGTTTTTACAATCAAAAGTTTATAATTTGATTACTTTGGCTTAACTACAAGGACACTATTGTGCAACTTGATTCTCTTTTCTTCTTCTTTCTTTCTTTCTTTTTTTTTTTTTTTTTCAATTCAAATATTAGGTATATTTTTCTGGTGAATTAGTCTGAAAAGCATGTGTTGCCATCTATCACAGGTTGACACGCGGTCTGAGAAGGAGAAAGCAATCGATGCTTGGCTTCCAATCACTTCTTCAAGGAATGCAAAATGGTGGTACTCAGCTTTCCACAATGTCACTGCCATGGTTGGAGCTGGAGTTCTCGGTCTCCCTTATGCCATGGCAGAGCTAGGATGGTATGCTTGATCCCTAAACAATTTGTTTTTATTCATTAATAATATAACTCAAATCCTTATTAGTTGAAAATGTATTACAATGGAAATTAATATGTTTGTAAGTCAGTTTAAAGTTTGTGGAGGATAACCATTGACCGGATACATATTTAACAAAGCACAATGTTATTGAAATGTTTATTTTTATACCTTTTCATTCTAATAAATTATTCTTTGAAGGTTTTCAAGTCTTTCTTTAGAACCTCTGCATGTTTTAACCATGGGAATTTTCTTATCTAACAATTGAGGCATACGGCTTTCTATAAAATAACCATTTTCATTTACTTTTCAAGAAACAAAATTGTAATTCTACATCTACAGGTAAGTGATACTATATATATCTTTTGGTTTTCAGGGGTCCTGGTGTTTCTGCACTTGTAATATCATGGGTTGTCACTTTATACACCTTATGGCAAATGGTTGAGATGCATGAGATAGTACCTGGAAGACGTTTCGACAGATACCATGAGCTGGGTCAGCATGCATTTGGTGAAAAGCTCGGTCTTTATATTGTGGTGCCCCAACAGCTTATTGTTGAAATCAGCGTGAACATACTCTATATGGTCACTGGAGGGAAGTCACTCAAGAAATTCCACGATGTGGTGTGCAAGGATTGCTCAAACATCAAGCTGACCTACTTCATCATGATTTTTTCCTCTGTCCATTTCGTGCTCTCCCATCTTCCAAACTTCAACTCCATCTCTGGTGTGTCTTTGGCTGCAGCAGTCATGTCTTTGAGGTACAGCCCTTTCTTCTTCTATGCATTTTCTCATTATTGTTTGCTGGCATGGAAACATGAAAGTTACGTTAAAAAAAAAAAAGCAGGAAAATATATCAGAAGACAAAAATACAAGAATCAATATAGTTCAAACACTAGTAGTTGCCACATTGACTGGCTAAGAAAGATGGACTGTTCTAAGAATGTAATGTGTTGTGTCCAACACGATACAACACTTGTCGGACACTTCCAATACTTGGAAATACGCAAAACATATAACAAGTTTGAATAATGTAACTTGGAATCCAGTGATAAAACAAAACAATTTAAATTTATACCTCTTCTCCTTCTTTAGACTTTAAACATTATTATCTTTGACTAAGACGTTCATATAATAATTATCTAACCTTATATATGATATTTAATAAATATGCAAAATTATATATTTTGCAAGTGTTCCTCACATGTCATATCTTACATTTTATAAATAATTATCTATCGTCGTGTCTGTGTCATGAATGTTCTTCTTAGTTGATTGAACAAGATTAGTGGGCAGAGAAATGCCGCAATACAGGAGGAAAACCCTCATTCTCAATAGTTCAATGTTTAATATTGAATGGCAAGTACTAGCATGTTTGTGCTTTAATGTTGTCTGTCCTACAGTTACTCTACCATTGCTTGGGCTGCTTCTCTGCACAAGGGTGTGCAATCAGATGTCGAATATGGATACAAAGCTAAGACAACAGTAGGAACAGTTTTTAATTTCTTCAGTGCCTTGGGTGAAGTGGCTTTTGCCTATGCGGGTCACAATGTGGTCTTGGAGATTCAAGCAACAATCCCTTCTACACCTGAAAAGCCTTCCAAGGGCCCTATGTGGAGGGGAGTGATAGTTGCCTACATAGTTGTGGCCTTGTGCTACTTCCCCGTCTCTCTAATTGGGTATTGGGTATTTGGGAACAAAGTTGATGACGACATCCTCATCACATTAGAGAAACCTGGTTGGCTCATTGCCATGGCTAACTTGTTTGTCGTTATTCACGTTATTGGAAGTTATCAGGTGCAAGCCAAAACTTATTTGATTAAGTTGTTTCAAACAATTCATCATAATGATCAATTCTGATGATGTTTCTCTTTCTAATTTTTTTTTTGTTATTTTCTGTTGTTTTAGATTTATGCAATGCCAGTGTTTGACATGATAGAAACCGCTCTCGTAAAAAAATTGCATTTCAAGCCAACTATGATGCTTCGCTTTATTACACGAAATATATATGTTGGTAAGTGAATTGTAATCTTTATTCAATTACTGCATTATGTGAATAAATTTGTGATTTTCTCTAAGTTGAAGCTACATTTCTCTGATCTGAAGTTAATGTATTTTTTTTTTCTTGCAGCATTCACAATGTTTGTTGCCATTACCTTCCCTTTCTTTGGTGGTCTACTAGGATTCTTTGGAGGATTTGCATTTGCCCCAACAACATACTTTGTAAGCAACTATCTGACTCGTTTTGTTATTGAATTGACCTTGTTCGGTGCAGTTTATGAGGGATGCTTATAGCTTTTTTTATTTTATTTTAGGAATATGTGCCAAAATAAATAAATAAAGCAAGCTATAAAAAGGGTGTCATTTAGGCGGTTGACCAAATGGTGTTTCTATCTTTTTTTTCTATTTTTTTTATAATGGCACTAGGGTGTTCGGATTAAAACCCGACTAATCCCCAAGGGTGCACAGGCCCTCAGCAAGGATTTTCCCTCAAGTGCATCACGGTTAATTCAAGTGTTTTCCTCCAGTGCGATGGCCCCAAAAAATTGTTAGCACCTAAGAGGCTTCAATCCCTGAACCTTCGAGAGAGCGCACCCCCAAAACCCAAGGCCTTGCCACCAACCCCTTGGGGTTCAAATGGTGTTTCTATAATTTTTTAAAGCTTAAGCTGAGGGAGAGAGATAATAACTTTCTTTTTTTTTTAAGTGCGATATCTTTAACTTGTGTTTAGATTATCAGCTCTTTTTTTTCTTTTTTCTTTTTTTATGATAAATAAGAACAATATTATTAAAGAAGCATGATGATGCAAAGAACCAATAACTACAAATCAACGAACAAATAAAGACTCAATAATTGTCAGCTTTTAAATTGGCAAACTGCATCAAACCGGGTTTAGCATGGTTTATACGACAAAGATTATATAATTGTTTAAATATACTGTAAATTTTTTTCCTCTCTGCAGCTGCCTTGTGTCATGTGGCTTGCCATCAAGAAACCAAAGAAGTTTAGCTTGTCTTGGTTCATTAACTGGGTATGACTCTGACTTAAAACTTTGCATTGATTTCATTCTTTACCTTATGCTTTGAAGTTTAAAGCAAAATTAATTTTGATTTGGCTTCATCAATTTTCAGATATGCATTATACTGGGTGTTCTTTTGATGATTGTGTCACCTATTGGAGGGCTAAGGCAAATTATAATTCAAGCAAAGGGCTATCAATTCTACTCTTAGGTCTTAATCAAATCGTCCCACACCAAGAAGAATTGTCACAAATACCTTGGTTGGCGGAGAAACGAAAATCACAATGATACTTGCAATGGCCATGGAAAAATGGCAGCAACACATGAAGTAAAAAATGGGACCTCAAAAAGAGAATATTGCCCATGGAACCAACTTAGAAAGCTTCCTAGAGACCTTCATTATTTACACTTTTCATTAAATGGTGTGCATATGTATGTCACTTTTCATGTTTGTTTTTTCTCTAAAGCTTCATGTTTTTTTTTTGAAGTTTACTATCAGTGGTGAGATAGAAGTAGATTCTATAAAAAGGATGTGCAACTTTGTATTGTGTAGGGCACATATATGTTGTTGCCACTTTTTCTTTTTTTTTACCTTCCAAAGTGCAATATTGTGCGAATAAAATTCAATATTAAATGCTTTCATACATTTTTTTTTTTGCAGAAATACATCTCTTGCACAATCCTAATTATGTCTCCTCCTGTTGAGATTCAAGTTATAATACCTATGGCCACATTAGTTTCTCGGGGAACTTTGGTTTCATAATAAAATTGTGATACAGCCGGGTCTTATCATGTTGGAAACAAGGCAAAAAAAAATTGTTCCTTATGAGAAAATGTGGCTTGAAAAGCATGAAAAGAAGCAGATGATTATGCATACTGCTGTGTTTGGAATATCAATGATGTCAATCATGTACTGTTCCAAGAACAACAAAGGTAATTGAAGTCCATCATTGCCAATATGAGAAACAAAAACTTAGAATCAAAGAAACAGGAAACGGAAATGTGAAACATGGTCCAAAAATAGCTAGGTGATTTAAGTTAAAAGACTGAATTTAACATTTACAAAATAAACTATTAAGTACTTTAAAAATAGCAATATGAAGATTAGAATACTTTCATAATCAATTACATAACTATTCCCTAGAAAAGCACAAATCTTAAGTGGATACATCACTATGAAATGACCAAATAGAAGAAATATAGGAAAACCAACCAGAATTGTAACTGGAGCTGCCTGAACTGATACATGTGTTGCTTTAACAGCCTGTATCTTTTTCTTTCTCTACTGGACTTGGCTCGAGACAGGAGGCTCATTCACATCAATATCAACATTGTAAATCCATACAAATGTACAATATATAAGGCGATATATGAAATATGGTTTGAGATGCAGTAAAGATGCCTGCAATTTTGGTGGCAACCAAATAGAATGGCTAATAACCTTTGCACAAAAATTGCATGGATAAATCACTGAGCCACGATCTGTTTAGTACCTGCAACAGATATGAATAGCGCATTAATTATGATAAACCATACTTGTTTAAGAGAAGGCATTCATCTTCATTTTCATGAGGGAATATTGCATCAAAGGTAAAATACCTCTATTTCACAGGGTTCGGCTTTTGCTTGGTTCTTTCGTATTTCTCGTAAATAGTCATCTAGAAGCTTCCGTAACATGAACAAGGTATTATCACTGAGATCATCAATATAAACTTCAATCTCATCCTCTCTAGCTTCCCATCCATTTGAAATCTGATCCCTCACAAATTCAAAAATATTGTCTGGCAACTCCCCCAGCAAAGCCTCAAAGTCTCTACTTAACTTACGTTTTTCCTCATATGTCATTATTCTCTTTGCACGGCCAGGCATAGCTTTATGTTGTGGTGAAGTAAGTTTTCTTTTTTTTGATGGAGGCATTGGCTTAATAGTCCCCTTTTCTTCATGTACGTCTGATTTTTCTGGTAATGGCTGGGAATCCTTCGGAAGATTATTCGCAATAACTTTCCATCTTGCTTCAAAAAATTTACTCAAAGTATCAGCAATGATGTGGAAATCATTTCCTGGTGGATTGTAGGTCATGGCATTAGAGAAAGTTAGTCTGACATCAGCCACAAATTCCAACGCACTTGAGTACTCACTTGAAGCAATCTTGCTCTTTATTGTCCCCAAATCCATTGGATGCTTTATAACAGTCAAATAATCAGGAATGTTCAACTTTACTGCATCAACGGGAGTGTTAAAAACCCAACCATACTGATGTTGCATCAATTTTTTTAATAATGTCTTGCACTGTTCAATCGAAATTGCACTCAAAGTGCTTGATGCCCAACTTGCAGACACAAACCTCCCTGAAGTACCACGATTCCAGCCACGCCTCTTGCAGCCTTTCTTCCCTGGCCCAGAAGTCAACCCTTCCGATTTCTTGAAGTTCTCTGCTGAATACCCAATTAATAATGCTTCAGAGTGTTCAATCAAAATTGCATTCAAAGTGCTTGGTGCTGATGCCTGACTTGCAGACTCAAACCTACCTGAAGTACCACTGTCACCTGCAGGGTTTACTTTCTCTAACGAAGGCCCATTTTGTGTGTTGCTACAACTACGAACATCACTTTGCATCTTCTCTCTTCTGGAGAATCTGCGAATCTGTTTAACTTCAGCTCTCAATCTTTTAGTTTTGGATTGTGAGGTGAGAAAAGAAAGGAACTGATTATAGTTTCTCACCTAGCTGAGAGAAGAAAAGAAATTATTGTGGTTTCTCGTCTTCTTGTTTGGATGTATTGTGATTTCTCATCTTCTTGTTTGGATGAACATTGATTAAAAAAAGGATATATGTATCTTTTTATTTTATTTGTTTTGTATTTAGAGGGGTAATTTAGGTATTATAAATTTTTTATAAAGAGTAATTTTGGTTTCTCACTACTTTGGTCAGAAACAACTTAAATTTTGAGTGATTTATCTTTCTCACTATTTCTCTTCCTTTCTCACCATTTTTCACCTCATTAATTATTCAGACAAGTGATGAGAAACCTCATTCTCTCCATTTTCTTTCTTTTCTCACCAAACCTCTCCATCCAAACGGTAAATCCTTTCTCTTGGAAGGTGATACTTTTTAAAGACACCAAAACCATCGCATGTAGCAAAATTCAAATGGATGCATTTCCTCCTTGGACCACTTGAATCCTTCGAAGTATCTGTGTGTCAACATGCCCTGAGCCATCCGAGTCTTAATCAGGGAGTTAAATCAAAAAAATACCCTCCACGGAACCAATCCTTTGTTGACATCATCCACACGTAGCATGATTCTCAGACTGCTTATGTTCCCTTCTATCCAATATGAAACATAAATTGCTTACTTCTGCAAATTTTAATTGCAGGAAGTTAATTTCCTAGACCTGCACACTTTTTATACATCATAATAATATACATAAGAACATATACACATATTTTAATATTTAATTTAGAGTGCTACATTCGAACCCTATATTTCTGTTCCTTCTTTTCTTTTGTCTCCCCGTTTTTTAATAAGAAATCAGTAAAAATGATTCACATTCTCTAATGTATATATTCTTTTGCAACTAGAGTCATTAATACAGGTTCTGTTAACTTGATTGACTATTGTATATTCTTCAATAAGTTCAGCATTCATATTAAAGTAAAAATCCAACGAATCAAAAAAGTAGGTTTCAAGTACAAACGCAATTTCTGTTCAAACAAGAAGTACAAACGCAATTTATATCGAAGAGTGAAAAACAAAAAAAAAATGATTGTGGTCTCTCATCTATATGAGAAAAGAAAAAAAATGATTATGTTTTCTCGTTATCATGTTTGGATGAGTGAAATATTCTTCCATTGCATTTTAAGGGACAATTTAGATATTATAAATATTTTACAACCAATCAACTTGTATCTCACCAAATCTCATCATTTTAGTGAGAAATGAAATAGGTTTGGTAAGAGATTTCTCTTTGGGCAAATTACATTTGTAGTCTTTCTATTTTTGCTCTTGTGTCATTTTGGTCTCTATAATTTCAATTGGCTCAATTTTGACCTTGAATTTTAAGTTTGTCTCAATTAGTCCAATTTATCACAAATGTTAGCATTTTTTAATAGAAAATACATACATAAGTGGTATGTGCCATGTTTTTAGAAGCAAAATTACAAACTTGGTCTACTTAGTAAGTTAATCTCAACCAATTTAGTTATTATTTTTTCTCTTTGGGCAAATTACATTTGTAGTCTTTCTATTTTTGCTCTTGTGTCATTTTGGTCTCTATAATTTCAATTGGCTCAATTTTGACCTTGAATTTTAAGTTTGTCTCAATTAGTCCAATTTATCACAAATGTTAGTATTTTTTAATAGAAAATACATGCATAAGTGGTATATGCCATGTTTTTAGAAGCAAAATTACAAACTTGGTCTACTTAGTAAGTTAATCTCAACCAATTTAGTTATTATTTCTTTAAAAAAAAAAAAAAGGAAGAACAAGAAAAAAACACTAACAATATTATTAATTGGACAAAATTAACACAAAATCTAAAATTAATGGTCAAAATTTAGTCAATTGAAAGTGTAGGGACAACAATGACACAAGGAGCAAAATGTAGGGACTTCTGGTGTAATTTGCCATTTCTCTTTTCTCACCATTTCTCACTATTTACAAACCAAACATGAGAAAAGATTATCATTTCTCACGAAATCACCCCATTGAATGAATCAAATGAGTAGGTTTGAAGTACATACTCCAATTTATACACACACATGGCCCTTATTAGAAACAAGAAATGCAGATAAAAACCAAACCTTGAAATCTTGTCCCAAAGGTCATCATGAGTTCCAAATAGCGAAATCATTCAGCAAAGCAGAATCTAGGACTCTTCTAGACATTGAATGAACGAAATTTCATATACAAAACCCAGAAACTATGACTCGTGTACCATGAACAAAACCCTAGATCAATTACTTCAACAAATTTAAAGCTCAAAGTTACCTTGAACAGCGACATTGTGATCCAAACCCTAAAAGGTAATAACATCGACTGATTCACAAAATCTGGATTTGCGAGCTAGAGCTCCGGAGGCGAAAGAGAAGAACTATTGAGGAGAGAGATACAGCGAGAGAGAGAGAGAGAAAACAGAGAGAAGCGGCGTGTATTAGTGCTCCACTCCACCTATGGCTTTCTAGCAATCTGGATCGTTGATTTCCAAGGCTTCGAATAATCTGACGGCTAGGGATACTGGGGACGTTCGCTATCAGATGCAGATCCAATGGATGAGGTGGGTTCCGACTTCCGAGTAATGTGAATCATTGGGTTGGGTCCCACTCAAAAGGCACACAATTAGGGATTAAAAACCGGGTCAGACCATTCACGGTTCGGGCTAACTGTCCGGTTTGATGAATCCTATAAATTGGGCAAATTTTTATTTATTTATTTTTAAAACCTAAATCCGATATCTGATCTGAATCTTAATCCGACGAGAATTTCACCGGCGACGATCATCTTCTCCGGCGAAATTGTTCTCCTCCAAAACCTCGCTTTCATGGTGTTGGTGTAGTGAGACTTGACTGTAGTTGTTCATGGCTTCAAAAGCTATGTTATAACCAGTGAGAACCCTAATTTGTTCATCAGCCAAAGGTACTTCAAATTAAAAAAGCTTCTATTTTCATATTGCTTGTCTTCTGGGCCAAAGATGTGTTTGTTAATCCTTCAACTTGCTCAATTGAAATAACTATTGTAATTTATGTGCCTTTTTTAAAAAAATAAAAAATAAAAAATATTTATCACAGTTTGGAGGCGAGACTTGAAGAGTGTCTGTAAGATAAATTGATGTATTATTATTGATATGTATATATTACAAGATTGATGTATTTCTGTATTGTATGTGATTACAAAGAGATGAACTCTCTCTATATAGAGAGAAATGGTGCATTGGATACCAAACCCACCACCACCGAAAGTGAAAGCTAAAAGAATAAAGCTTAAAGCTAAAGTGTGTAAAGCTATAATTAACAACTATATACAAGTAATAAGTATATACTAACAGCCCCCCTCAAACTCAAGGAGGATAGGCACTAGCCAACTTGAGTTTGGAGAGAATCACAAAACAGAAAAATAAACTGATAAATAAAACAGGATAGGAGACACGGTATGGTCGTGTCAGACCGATGTAGCAGACAGTTTATGGGGTCATTATAAAAATTTAAAATTTTTAAAATTATGTTATATCACTCATTAGTAAACTAAGGCCATGTTTGATTCACAACACTAATAGTGAGGTATTAATAATCCTATTAAATTAGTGTGGTATTAGTTATCCCACCCCTACCCCATTACTAAGGCCATGTTTGTTTGGGTGGACATGAGTTTGGGATTGGACTAATAATCCAATAAAATTATTAATCCGATGTTTGGTTAAACAATTGAAGTACGGATTAATTATTTTAAACTTGACTATTAGTTAAGATAGGATACATAATCTAATGGATTCGTAATCCCAGGACTATTAGTCATGGGAATGCTAATTCAGTCCGCCCAAACAAACATGGCCAAAAGGTACTAACATCGACTGATTCACAAAATCTGGATTTGAGAGCTGGAGCTCCGGAGGCAAAAGAGAAGAACTATTGAGGACAGAGATACAGTGAGAAAGAGAGAGAAGACAGAGAGAGAAGCGGGGTGTACTAGTGCTCCACTCCACCTATGGCTTTCTAGCAATCTGGATCGTTGATTTCCACGGCTTCGAAATAATCTGACGGCTAGGGATACTGGGAACGTTCGCTATCAGATACAGATCCGATGGATGAGATGGGTTCCGACTTCCGAGTAATCTGAATCATTGGGTTGGGTCCCACTCAAAAGGCGCGCAATTAGGGATTAAAAATCGGATCAGACCGTTCACGGTTAGCGCTAACTATCCAGTTTGATGAATCCTATAAATTGGGCACATTTTTTTATTTTTTTTTTTAAAAAACCTAAATCCGATATCTGATCTGAATCTTAATCCGACGAGAATTTCACCGGCGACGATCATCTTCTCCGGCGAAATTGTTCTCCTCCAAAACCTCGCTTTCATGGCGTTGGTGTAGTGAGACTTGACTGTAGTTGTTCATGGCTTCAGAAGCAATGTTATAACCAGTGAGAACCTTAATTTGTTCATCAGCCAAAGGTACTTCAAATTAAAAAAGCTTCTATTTTCAGATTGCTTGTCTTCTGGGCCAAAGATGTGTTTGTTAATCCTTCAACTTGCTCAATTGGAATAACTATTGTAATTTATGTGCCTTTTTTAAAAATTAAAAAAAAAAAAATTATCACAGTTTGGAGGCGAGGCTTGAGAGTGTCAATGACACATGCGTGCTATCTCACAGCTTTGAAGGCTTTGTGAGCACCCTTTCACTGAATATCTTGTTTAAATGCTCTCTTTACTCATTTTTTGGACACTTCACACTATGTTTAGATATTTAGGAGAGAAGAGAAAAGGAAAGAAATGATTGAGATATCTCTCCCATCTTGTTTACCAAAATAAACTTCTATGTTTTTATTTCTTTTGTAGTTAGATGGGCAATGTTGGTAATATACAAAATTAGTAATCTTTCAATTTCTTTTCTCTTTTATTTCTCCTCATTTATCTCCTGTGTAGTAATCCAAACAAGTGATTAAGATTAAGGGAGATTGGTTTCTTTTCTTTTCTCTCCAAATCACTCAATCCAAACACGGTGTTAATGTGATGTCTGCTCTGTTTGGTTGCTGAGAAACAAAGGGGAATGAGCAGAAAAATAAAGCTTTATGTCAAATCCTTATGCTTTTGCATTTTGGAAGAAAGAATATCACCTCAGGTTCTTAGCTAAGCTAAATACTTCCGTTGCATTGGATTCAGACGACAAATGGTGAAATCATTTCCAACTGTTGAAAAATTTTGTTGAAATAATTCATATCATTTCCCTTGTTTTCCCTAAAAACTTGTCGGGATCCAAACAGACCACTTTGTGTGTGTTGTGTGGATTGTTAGCCAAATGATAGATTATCATTGCTGAAGTCTGTCTCTCTGACTAATTGTTAGTTATGTTTAGAAATTTTGGGGCAGCAGGGACTCGATGGTCATTATTTAATTTGAAATTTCCATTCAAGTCTTCAATAAGGCAAATACACATGGAAAATAATCACAAAAGTGATTCAAGAGGTGCTTTAATTGTACTAGAAGGGTTGGATCGAAGTGGGAAGACTTTACAATCAAGAAAGATGATTTCTTACTTGGAAGGACTCAGCTATTCAGTTGAATCATGGCGTTTTCCTGATAGAAATACTGGTGTTGGGCAAATGATTTCCTCTTATCTTGCTAACAAGTCAGAGTTGGATGATCACGCAATCCATCTACTCTTTAGTGCAAATCGTTGGGAGAAGAGGTTCGTTTCAATGTCTCATGCATTATGTTACGTTCTGCTTCTTCAAAGGTCTTGTGAGAACTGAGAACCTCAAGTTTAAACCTTATATTTGTGTTTAATGTTGCTTCTATTAGTAGTTTGTCATTCACATGAAGAATTTTTAAGTTCAATGCACATCAATCAAATTTGTGCTAGAATGGAAATTCAATCCTTCAATTTGAAACCATCCCCATTTCATCTAGGAGAAGTATCAATGCCAAAGCTGAAATACGATTGTTCAACTTAAGAATAAAGAGAGATTATTATACCCTAAATGGTTGTTAATTTTAAAATTACTCTCATACATAGAACAGTGCTTGTTTAAATTTTCAAGACAAGGGCTCAGCCAGACCCGTAATTTGACACACTAATTTTTGAAATATTTCATTATTATGCTCTTTCTAGTATGATTTCCCGATTCAAATTTCGTTTCACTGGATAAATTTCATTCTTGTGATGCTAAAAAAATAATGACTGAATTGTCAGAACTTATCTTAATTTGAATATTGGCTGGATCAGCTGTAGAATTTGTCTTCAATTGGTTTAGCACCCAGGTCCCAGCCCAAACTTTTCACAATTTCACATAGATTTTGAGAGTTTTATTGCCATCTTGAAGGTAAAATAGTCTTACTTTGATAACTTCACTTTCTTTAAAATAAAAAATAAAAAAATCATTACTGCCATTTCTTTTCCATCAACAGACGCATCTATTTACAGAAAAAGTTGTTAGAATGTTGGATTTGTATTCCCTATGTGCCCTTTTCATGGGATCAGTCTGTGATTGATAATGATTTTGATTTGTGCACAAGAAAATGTTTGACATGTCAAGACTTATAAGTTATAACTGATCATCTGCAATATATTTGCAGATCCTTGATGGAGAATAAACTGAGAAGTGGAACCACCCTAATTGTAGATCGCTATTCATTTTCTGGGGTGGCTTTTTCATCTGCCAAAGGACTTGATATTGAATGGTGTAAGGTGAAGACATGCTTCAAACTATTTTTAAGTGGGAATTTTTTATTTTTTATTTTTTTTTTTCGGTGCCATTTCTTCCCTTTTGGTAGTGAAAAATGAGTTGTTGCACAGGCACCAGAGATGGGGTTGCTCTCTCCAGATCACAACCATGTATTGAACCTTGCAGATTGAGTAGTTTTCCACTCTCTTTCTCAACAAATCCTGCTTGTCTGATGGCTAATTTAGTCCTTGATGATAAATGTAACTTCCTTTGTCATTGGTTGATGTTGTGTAAGTGTAAGGCACTTTAATTGGCTTCATGTTTAGGGGACTCTTGGTCCAGAATGTGATGATCCTTGGTCAATTTATCACTCCTTCCTCATTCCATATGGTAAAATATAAGTTTACTGTTGATTGAGCTGTTGAGGTCATCTATTTAAGACTGATTTTTGTGGTATCATATTATATAAATGAAGAGAGTCTAGTTACTAGTTTCCTTTGTGTGTGTGCATATGTGTCCACCAAGTAAAACAGCAGCCAGGGTAACTGAAAAGTCCTTTTGAAATTGCCAGAAAGCGGCTGAAAGAGGAGGCTATGGAGGGGAGAGATACGAGCAGCTTGAGTTTCAAAGAAAAGTTGCCCGCTCATATCAGATACTCCATGATGCCTCATGGAAGGTAACATATTTTTAATAGCTCTTTTATTGTTTTGTTTTCCAGTGCCAATGAAAATGGTCTGGTGGTGTTACTCTGACGAGACTATGTACACACTCCTTGTGATGTCATCCTTTGGGTCTCATTTAAATAAGAACTTAAGGGAAATCAAAAAAGAAAGAGAGAGGACACGCCATGTGATCAAGTGGAGAGTGAGCTGGGTATGCATATGCAGATGAGATAGTGGAGAATTATTTTATTGGAGAGGGAAGGAAGTGGGAATAAAGAGATACACACATGGGTTAACATCATCATCTCCTTCTTCTTTTCCGCCGTCGATAAAACCGATTCCCGGAGATCTCGCCGGCCGTCTGAGAAATGGAATTGGGCTTCGTCGTCGGCGTCCTCGGAGTCCTGATCCTCTCCCACGCAGCCTACTCTACCATCCAGTATAGATCTCTGCTCAAGATCACCGAGGAGGAGTTCTCCGGCCCACCTATGAACGTGGTTGTTGAGTTGATTTTAGGGTTGGGTTTCTGTATGTGGGCGGCGCTCACTGTTCCTGGCAAATTTCGATCGATAGTCCCGTATTCCGATGACAACAGGGTAGTCTCTTTACCTCCATTTTCACCATCTCTGTAGAAGAGTCAACCATGGCTGCTCATGGAGAAGAAGTGAGATGCAAAAGAGCTACTGGATCGAGCACGCTGCCGATCTCACCGTGGAGGCTATGAAGCTCGACTCCAAAGCTGCTGATCTCGACAAAGAAGAGAGACCTAAGGTACTTGCTCTGCTTCCACCATTTGAAGGAAGGCGGGGGTGGCAGAGATGTATGCTGCCGTGTGTGTTCAGTGGTGTGTGAATGGTGTTGAAGCTTAGTGTATGGTAGTGTGATGTGTGTATCTGGTATGGTGGTGATGTGCGCTGCTATCTGTGTTGTGTGTGCCTGGAGAACCAAAAACTGCCGAGAGAGGGAGACCAGGTGCCGAGAGAGCCAGATCAGTGTTGTGTATCTTTTCTCTTTGCTTGTGAGTATGTTTCCCTCAAAACAGTGTGTGTGTAGCTCAATTTTTGTGTGTCTCAAGCTTTGTGTGTGAGTATGGCAGTGTGTGGTGTGGTGCTGCAAGATAGCCGAGGGAGAGGGAGCCCGAGAGAGAGGTTGGTTTGGTCTCTCGGTTTAAAGAGAGAGAAAGAGAAGTGGGTGACAGTGTATGGAGGGTGTGTGTGTATGCAGCCCCCATACCCATGGTGGAAGCAGCACAAATCTTGGCATTGAGAGAACCCAAAAATCAAACTCAGAAACCCAACAGATGAGTTCCATGCCCATGGCTAAGCCGGAGATCACGGAGTAGCCAGTAATGTTGGTGTGCTGAAGCAAGATGATGGTGCATGGGCTTGAGACATGCCCAGTAGTGAACTCAAGCGTCAATATTGTAGAGCTGTTGTCGATACGACTGTCAACAAGTTCAAAAGGAGAATAGGTTGAGGTCCGGCGGGCGATCAAGGCAAGTTTGCCGCCCGCCGGAAGATGAAGAACACCAAGAGTTTAACCTATAGCTCTGATACCATGTAAGATAAATTGATGTATTATTATTGATATGTATATATTACAAGATTGATGTATTTCTGTATTGTATGTGATTACAAAGAGATGAACTCTCTCTATATAGAGAGAAATGGTGCATTGGATACCAAACCCACCACCACCGAAAGTGAAAGCTAAAAGAATAAAGCTTAAAGCTAAAGTGTGTAAAGCTATAATTAACAACTATATACAAGTAATAAGTATATACTAACAGTGTCAATGACACATGCGTGCTATCTCACAGCTTTGAAGGCTTTGTGCGCACCCTTTCACTGAATATCTTGTTTAAATGCTCTCTTTACTCATTTTTTGGACACTTCACACTATGTTTGGATATTTAGGAGAGAAGAGAAAAGGAAAGAAATGATTGAGATATCTCTCCCATCTTGTTTACCAAAATAAACTACTATGTGTTTATTTCTTTTGTAGTTAGATGGGCAATGTTGGTAATATACAAAATTAGTAATCTTTCAATTTCTTTTCTCTTTTATTTCTCCTCATTTATCTCCTGTGTAGTAATCCAAACAAGTGATTAAGATTAAGGGAGATTGGTTTCTTTTCTTTTCTCTCCAAATCACTCAATCCAAACACGGTGTTAATGTGATGTCTGCTCTGTTTGGTTGCTGAGAAACAAAGGGGAATGAGCAGAAAAATAAAGCTTTGTTAAAAATCAATGTATAAAGAGAAAAATACAGAGAGAATAAATGTATCTGATGATCTTATTATTGATTGATGTTGTTGTATTTATTTCTATTACAATGATTCATGATTCCTATATATAGAAGAGGGTGAGTGTGTAGTAGGTAAGGAGTAGGTGAAGTGGAGGTGGTAGTGGTGTAGTGGGTTAGGTTTAGTGGAGTAGGTTTAAGTGGGTGAAGTAGGTGGAGAGTAGGTGGATTTTAACAAGCTTTATGTCAAATCCTTATGCTTTTGCATTTTGGAAGAAAGAATATCACCTCAGGTTCTTAGCTAAGCTAAATACTTCCGTTGCATTGGATTCAGACGACAAATGGTGAAATCATTTCCAACTGTTGAAAAAGTTTGTTGAAATAATTCATATCATTTCCTTTGTTTTCCCTAAAAACTTGTCAGGATCCAAACAGACCACTTTGTGTGTGTTGTGTGGATTGTTAGCCAAATGATAGATTATCATTGCTGAAGTCTGTCTCTCTGACTAATTGTTAGTTATGTTTAGAAATTTTGGGGCAGCAGGGACTCGACGGTCATTATTTAATTTGAAATTTCCATTCAAGTCTTCAATAAGGCAAATACACATGGAAAATAATCACAAAAGTGATTCAAGAGTTGCTTTAATTGTACTAGAAGGGTTGGATCGAAGTGGGAAGACTTTACAATCAAGAAAGCTGATTTCTTACTTGGAAGGACTCAGCTATTCAGTTGAATCATGGCGTTTTCCTGATAGAAATACTGGTGTTGGGCAAATGATTTCCTCTTATCTTGCTAACAAGTCAGAGTTGGATGATCACGCAATCCATCTACTCTTTAGTGCAAATCGTTGGGAGAAGAGGTTCGTTTCAATGTCTCATGCATTATGTTACGTTCTGCTTCTTCAAAGGTCTTGTGAGAACCTCAAGTTTAAACTTTATATTTGTGTTTAATGTTGCTTCTATTAGTAGTTTGTCATTCACATGAAGAATTTTTAAGTTCAATGCACATCAATCAAATTTGTGCTAGAATGGAAATTCAATCCTTCAATTTGAAGCCATCCCCATTTCATCTAGGAGAAGTATCAATGCCAAAGCTGAAATACGATTGTTCAACTTAAGAATAAAGAGAGATTATTATACCCTAAATGGTTGTTAATTTTAAAATTACTCTCATACATAGAACAGTGCTTGTTTAAATTTTCAAGACAAGGGCTCAGCCAGACCCCTAATTTGACACACTAGTTTTTGAAATATTTCATTATTATGCTCTTTCTAGTATGATTTCCCGATTCAAATTTCGTTTCACTGGATAAATTTCATTCTTGTGATGCTAAAAAAATAATGACTGAATTGTCAGAACTTATCTTAATTTGAATATTGGCTGGATTAGCTGTAGAATTTGTCTTCAATTGGTTTAGCACCCAGGTCCCAGCCCAAACTTTTCACAATTTCACATAGATTTTGAGAGTTTTATTGCCATCTTGAAGGTAAAATAGTCTTACTTTGATAACTTCACTTTCTTTAAAATAAAAAATAAAATAATCATTATTGCCTTTTCTTTTTCCATCAACAGACGCATCTATTTACAGAAAAAGTTGTTAGAATGTTGGATTTGTATTCCCTATGTGCCCTTTTCATGGGATCAGTCTGTGATTGATAATGATTTTGATTTGTGCACAAGCAAATGTTTGACATGTCAAGACTTATAAGTCATAACTGATCATCTGCGATATATTTGCAGATCCTTGATGGAGAATAAACTGAGAAGTGGAACCACCCTAATTGTAGATCGCTATTCATTTTCTGGGGTGGCTTTTTCATCTGCCAAAGGACTTGATATTGAATGGTGTAAGGTGAAGACATGCTTCAAACTATTTTTAAGTGGGATTTTATTTTTTATTTTATTTTTTTTCGGTGCCATTTCTTCCCTTTTGGTAGTGAAAAATGAGTTGTTGCACAGGCACTAGAGATGGGGTTGCTCTCTCCAAATTTGGTATTATATCTTGACATACCACCAGAGGTAATTTGTTCTATTATCAAGTTTGTTGTTGAACTTAAGGTACCAGAACATCGAAGATCACAACCATGTATTGAACCTTGCAGATTGAGTAGTTTTCCACTCTCTTTCTCAACAAATCCTGCTTGTTTGATGGCTAATTTAGTCCTTGATGATAAATGTAACTTCCTTTGTCATTGGTTGATGTTGTGTAAGTGTAAGGCACTTTAATTGGCTTCATATTTAGGGGACTCTTGGTCCAGAATGTGATGATCCTTGGTCAATTTATCACTCCTTCCTCATTCCATATGGTAAAATATAAGTTTACTGTTGATTGAGCTGTTGAGGTCATCTATTTAAGACTGATTTTTGTGGTATCATATTATATAAATGAAGAGAGTCTAGTTACTAGTTTCCTTTGTGTGTGTGCATATGTGTCCACCAAGTAAAACAGCAGCCAGGGTAACTGAAAAGTCCTTTTGAAATTGCCAGAAAGCGGCTGAAAGATGAGGCTATGGAGTTGAGAGATACGAGCAGCTTGAGTTTCAAAGAAAAGTTGCCCGCTCATATCAGATACTCCATGATGCCTCATGGAAGGTGACATATTTTTAATAGCTCTTTTATTGTTTTGTTTTCCAGTGCCAATGGAAATGGTTTGGTGGTGTTACTCTGACCAGACTATGTACTCACTCCTTGTGATGTCATCCTTTGGGTCTCACCTCAGAGTTTATCACAACCTTTTAGCCTTAACATCAAGTCTTGCAGTTTATTTTCAAAATGCTTTTTGGTTTTCATATGGAATGATAGTGAGATGGGGGAAAACAAAAAATTGAAGGCATTAAATGTTGACACCGACTAAACTTGAACAGTGATCCATTTATCTTTATATCATTTTTTAAGCATAACAAAAAAATAAATAAAAAATGGTCTTTTTGTTTTTAAAGTCAAGATTGGTGAATGTGTCTCGTTTTTTAAGGTTCCTTTTTTTGTGGATGTCTTGCAGACCATAGATGCCTGTCTCCCCATTGAAGATGTTGAGAAACAGTTGCAGGAGGCGGTACTGGATTGTGTGACAACATGCGAAAAGGGGAAACCCCTGTCACAGCTCTGGTCAAGTTGAGATTGATTCCCCAGAAAGGAATGGGATAACTTAAATGTTGGCAACTATGATTATAATCAATAGTTCAGTCTGGTTTGTTATGAAGACAAATGCTTTTGATCCTCTCTGCCATGTTTTTATAACCATATTTAGCTTTTTTTGACAACTTATAGATTGGTATATTTTTTCCAGCTTATTTTTGTTTTTTATTCAATTTTCAGATTTTTTTTTGATTATTTTATTTTTTTATTTTATAGATCCACTTAGATTAGATGATTTTAAATTTTTAACAAAATCAACTAAAAATGAAAATAAACCAAATTTTGAAGGAAAAAACAAAACAAAACAAAACTTTAACAAGTTGGCTTATTTTATTTTCAACGGACTACTTTAAAAAAAATTATAATTTTTTTAGACCGAGCTAAAAGTAAAAAAAAACTGATACTTACAAACAAAATATAAATTAACCTATACATCATAGCCAAACAAAAATTCCAAAATTTTTGAAGGTGGAACAATATTTAAGCAGGTTCCAGGAGCGTTGATTTTTTTTAGTAATTTTTATTTATTTATTTATTTTAATAAAAAACTCTGTTTGGTAAATTTTTTTAAAAAAAAAAATCTCCTTCGTTAGTGAAAAAGTTGAATATATGCTTGACTTTTTTTAAATAAAAACTAAGGTATCTCTCTTGTCCATAGACCTTGAAACTAAAATCGATACCCATTTATAAGCAAATAGATTTTTTTTTATTTAGTCAAACTGTTTTTTATTTTTTATTTTTTTAAGAGATGGCCAGCATTACTGTTCAATAAGACTACACCAAGCTCTCTCAACTCTTGTTCCCCATACATAGACACACCCACAAGAAACAAAAAGTTCTAACTCAATCTTATTTCTGCAACTATTATGAAAATTTTGCTTTCCTAATTTCTTATTTCCAATCAAACAATATTCCAAACAGTCAAAAAAGAAAATGGGGGAAAAAATAAGCTTTCACCAATTACAAAATTACACCAAACTGTCCCCAAGATAAAGAATGTGGTATCATTTCAAACAAGGCCAAGAGGACTTCACTTGCACACACACAGCAACTCAACTCATGGGCATTGTTCAAAGCTCCACTCTTATTTTCACCATCACCAACCACAACAATGATCAATCTGAAAATGACAGGATCAACCAAATACATACTGGAAACTATCCAGGAAAATTTTGCATTCAACAACAATTCTAAACTAATTCAAAATTCCAAAAGAACAACACGTTTATACGAGTCACTTATTTCTCCCTGAATTGAAAACTTAACTCTTTGGGTCACCCACATTACCAATGGACAAGTTGAACAAATTCTTCGCAGCAGAAAAACATAATTGGCTTTATAAAATAATTATAATTATTGCCAATTCGAGTCCTCCCACAAGAGGATATCTAGTTGACGACATCGAGCACCAACTTACGAGACTTGAGAACAGACCACCTCATGCGCCTGTAATAAGCAGCTTGAAGCAGTGCCAATGACAGTACAAATATCCACTTGAATCCCATCTGCATTAAGAGAAGTACACGTGTGAGAAATTAACTACCTCCTAATGTAATGTCGCGTGATAATATTGAAGCCAACATACCAGTTTTCTCTCTTCCATTTCTGGTTCTGCAGCCCATGACAAAAATGTCACAACATCTTTTCCCATCTGCACCAATATTAGAATATGAGCTTAACTGTCTCATATGCTTTACGATAATAAGCATAACAATATAAAAGTACGAGAGAAACCAACCTGAGATTCCGTTGCAGGGGTACCATCTTCATACTCAACAGCACCATCGATAAGCATTTTAGGCATAGCAATGGCTTCCCCCAGGAAAGTAAGGGTTATAATGCAAACCTTCTCAGATCTACAATACCATTACAACTTGGCAGATTATGGAAAGAAATATTACCCAAATTTACAGAAAAAACAATTTCAAAATATAAGCAACCTTGTGGTGGTTAACCCTATTGTGTATTATCCTAACTTTCACAATTAATTTAAAAAAAAAAAAAAAACCACCCAAATATAAGTTAATCAGGAAATAAGTGAAACAGTATGAAGACAAACAATTCTTTTCACCAACAATCCTTCAAACACATGGGAGTGTTCTACCAATAGAACAGATGGGGGGTATATTATGCCTCTAATGAAAGCTTCTGCTTAAGCATACCTTTGAATCTGCGTATTCACCACGAAAGTCTACTTTTAATGCACCAAATCTAAAAAGTGAAATGCACCAACTACTAATGTCTAACAGAATATCAATGCAGACCCCAAAAAAATAAAAACACTTATAGATGGCAAAAGCTCTGATGCTATCATGATATAAATCTCTCAGGAACACAACAATGACATCCATCTGTAAGTGACATGAATTAATTTGCATAAATGACAGTATTAGCACTCCACATGATGCAGAAAAGGTACCACCCCCCAGACGTCAAACAATGAATAAGAATAATGAGAAAAAGCAGAGGACAAAGACAAAGACAGTTCCCTACATGCAAAACTATGACCAGCACAAACCATTACAAATTTATGACCATTCTTTGGGTGCTGCTATTGCCACAGCAGCAGAGGCTGCTAAGCCTTCAAGACAAAAGTTCTAAAATCTGGCAATAGTTGCATTCTTCTTTTTCTATTATTTTTATTTCATTATTACTTTCTGGGTATCAATTCATTAACCAAAGTGATTATCATTATAGAGCATCTACATGATGGCAAACTATAAAATTCTCCAAATGTGAACATACAAAACCATCATTGATCATACTACAAGTTCAAGAAGAAAGTTGAAGGAGACACTACAAATCAGAACTTACTGAAACACCAGCAGGAGGATCATGGTAACCAGTTAGAAGGGAAAATACATAGTTCTGACCATTGTGACGAGCCTGAAACTCCAAATAGTAAGAAATTGTAGAGATAGATAAATAATTAAAAAAAACCTAGAAATGAAATTAAAAACAGAATAAAGGAATTACTTTGGTGATAAGACTTAAATCTGGAGGATAGGCCCCTCCATTAGCAAACCTGGCAGCTTGTTCATTTGGATATGGCTGTGGAAAACGATCACTCAGTTTACCAGGCCGAGTAAACATTTCACCCTCATCATTAGGCCCATCAACGACCTCAATCTCAGCTGCCATAGCCTTTGTTTCCTCCTCTGTATATGCCACACCCGCCAAGTCACGATATGAAATCAGGGACATTGAATGACAAGAAGCACAGACTTGCTGGTAAACTTGGTGACCACGACGGATCCTGTTTGTGTAAAATTAAACATATTAAGATTAGTGGAAGCATGAAACAGTAAAACAACTGCAAACAAGTGAGTCAAAAATCATTATGCAGTTCCAAAGGAAATGAATCTATTTAGAAGATATCATGTGTGAAACAATTCTTCAGCACCATGCTGCCAGCAGAATAGGAAGAAATATGTTTTGTAGTTAAAAAAGCTAAGAGAGGTGAATGGGATGAAAATATTTCATATTGATTTATCAAGAGACGTGGTGATCTATGATTAAAATGGCTAGCTCTCAGATGCACAACTGAGAAGTGAAACAAGAAATTATCAAACTGGAAAATTGAGGCTTAAGTAGTTTCAATTCAAGGGTTGACCATAAATCAACCAAACTGCAACAAGTTGCAACAATAGGTGGAATGATTTAAAAAGCAGTCCACAGATGACCTACTTGGTCAGGCTAAAGATGTATGCAACTAAAATAGAAAGCATCTGAAAAGCATGTCATAGGCTCAACAGATACTCACGAAGCATGGTCATATGAACTGAGAATGCCTTCATGAGGCCAAGGATAGTTTGGACAAGGTAGACCATGTTCAGCCTCATCAGCAGCTGCTATTGTTGTGAAGCTCAAAAGCCCAGATACACCTGCTCCAAGAAGTGCAAATGCTCTCAGGGACTTCATTCCAGCAGATCCAGCTCCCTCTTGATCTTTCTTTGAAACAAGGGATGACAAAATTGGAGGGGCCTGACAGATGAACACCACCAATCAAAGTTCAAATTTCAAGTATGAAGTGAAAAAAAATAAAATATAAATAAACAAATAAAATTAAATAACCTAGTCCCGGACTCCCAGCCCAGATATAACAACTCACTTTTATCCAACACCACCCTTGCCCAACCAAGAATAACACTGATTCAACACCAAAACTTTTCAAAGTCAGTTGCAACATGCATAGCCATTGGTTCAAAAAAATTTCCTTTCTTTAAGTTTTGCATATATGTAATGGCAAACACATCAAAACAATACTAAATTCTTGGAAAAGAACTGGAGAAGACCACAGAGAAAAACAATTATGAGAGTAAGATTCTAATTTCATATTATGTTCCACATAAATTAAGTTTATAAGACCAAAAATAAAATCATACAACTGATAAACAGGGAATCCTTGTGCAAATATTAATATATTATGAGTTAATTACTTAAAAACCTCACAGCTTTAAAACAAGGAACTTCCCTATCGCTGTGTTTAGTTGGGAGACTTTGGAAGGGATTTGGAAAAAGAAAGGGAAAAAGGTAGAGTGAAATGTGAATAAAATATACTTACATTTCACACACATTTTCCCGTTCCCTTTCCAAATCCCTCCTCAAATCCCCCAACTAAACACCATAAAGGTGGAACTTCCTGAATTGTGCCAATAATTTATTAGAAACTAAAAATAGAAGTATTTCCAAGCAGCTCATATTATGTCTCTCTATGACGAATTTTCAAGGACTTTCTAAAAGTTTAGAAAAAACAAAATAAACTTGAAGTGCATCTTATAGTTTAAAATATTCTATCTTCAGTTCAATTTGAACTTCATAATGACGAAATCCTTAACGAACATCTCTGTTTACCACCTAAAAAGGGATTTCTTCGCTCACAACGTTGATCAAGACAAGGCATCAAAAAGAATGACTCTGAAGTAACTTCCAGACTATGATCTCATTGAGTTGGAACCTCATCTTATTTCTAGCTTGAAACAAGGAAAAAACAGAGAAAATAAGAGGCATGAAACAATACGAGCTAACCATTCACACATGGCTGGTCATCATTATAGTAAAGAACCAAATGATATATGGCATGCATGTAGTTCACTTCTGAAAGCTATTGTGCAACATTTTTATAAGGCTGTGCTTGTTTCGGTGTGAGACATCTCCCAGAAACCATTTTTAGTCTTATGTACTTTCTAGATCGCTAGTCCCCGAAAAAGAAAAAGAAAACAATGAAGGGCAAACATTAAAGATTCATGTTCATGAACATGTTAGATGATACTCATTGCAATTGGACAGCCTAACAAATGCTTCAATCTCTTTCTAAACGATTTGACCAAACACACAAAAAATAAAAAGGTTTTCACAGATAACATTCCATTTGGTACCTTGAAAACACTACACCCACAAGATATTTTGTGGGAATGAGGAAGAATGATCCCACAAGATATGTTGTTAGGTTGCTGTTTCACTGAACATGGATTACAAAAGTCTGAGGGCTAATAATAAACACCAGCCCTCCGTACCAAAGGGTACCCAATTGGTCTCTCATTCTTGATTTCAGGGGCTCCAGTGCCATGGTTTTCTTGCCTAAAAAAGAAAACACATAGATACACACCACAACCAAAAACACAGTAAATTGATGAAAACCAGTCTTCTTTGCAACAGAAAATGATGGCCCACCAAAAACGAATACTAAGAAACATTTGAACCTCATATAGTATACACTTAATAGGAAAATGCAATGAAGTTCAAAAGCTACAAGATTGCACCAGTGAAATACACATATAAACACTGCAAATGAGGAATGAGATTCTTACACTGGACTGAGATTGAAGTCTCCCCCTCAGTAACTGGTGGACAGCTCTACCAGCCATGTTAGTCAATCTGTTGATTTGTTCACCAAAAGAAACACAATTTTAATGAAAATAAACAAAAACTATGGATCTGGAAGAGCTCAACATTGACTTTATCAGAAGATTGGAGGCATCACTGAGAAGCATGGGAGCCGAATCCATACACCAAAAAAGGACAAAGTAGTGACCAGATAATAAATTTTACCCCCAACCGATCAAACAAGACATTGCAAAAAAGGCTTGGTTTAGTGAAGTTTCATTGTATTTAATGGTACGTGGACAATTTTATGCATATCGCAAAGCAAAATCTCTACTTTTCAACGGCAACTATCTCTTATAAACCACATATACAAAACTAACCTGCTAAAATTTGACAGCTCTGAAAGTCAGGTGCTAAGAAAAATTTGCAAACAATGAGAAGTTGAGTCTTACAGTGTGTTTGGAATTGGGGGATTTGACAGAATTTGATGGCATTGGCATTTCAAAATGGAATTCGATATGTTTGGAATGAACGGAATCTAAAATGGGGAAAAGGGAAAGCAAAATAAAGGAGTCTTGAAATCCAATGAAATGGCTGAATTTAAAGGGAATTAGAATTATAAAATCTTATCTAATCCCATATACCCATAATACACTCTCTTCTAATAAGTTCCCTACTAGCTAATAAGGGCATGATCTTCAACAAACAAAAAAAAACTCCTTTCCAATTCCTCATCAAACCAAACAAAAGAATGGAATAGTTTCCTTCTAATTCCAATTAGTTCTAAACACAAACACACACACACACACGAAAAAAAAAGGAATTCCTTAGAAACGTTTTCTTTTCCTTTCCCATTTTGAAATCTACAATTCTAAAAAGATTTGGTCCCAAACACAACGTTAAGAGCCTAGAGGTAGAAAAAGAAGAAAGTTGGGAGGAAAGGCTAACGAAATCATATATATGGTCTTGACCATCACCACAAAAATAAAATAAAATCACATATAGAGCCTTAGTCATTAAGAGGTGGTGTAATTACACATTCCAAAATAAGAATGTAATCACACAGTGAATAGTAGCTATTAGCTTCAAAGGACCTCTCGTGAGTTCCTGTCATCGTACACATCACCAGTACAGAATTTTTCCTTAGCTGAGCTGAATATAGAGTACACACAACTAGGCCTCATAGTATCAACTATGTTAAGCCTTTTAAGTTTTAGCCATTGCTTGCTTCCAAATTCACTTAGTTTATGTCCCAAGTTTACTGGTTTCCCAAGCTTGAGTCTACACTGGGTCGTCTATATAAGCTATGAACGGCGTACAAGTATCGAGTACTTACTGGGTGCGGATACACGTACCTATACGGTGGTACACGTACCGGGAACGCCGAATACATGCCGGGTACAGCAAATACATTTGGGTACGGCACCAGTACGGCAAAATGATTTTTTTTTTTTTTTTTCCCTAAGATTTTTTTACATCTGCTAAAATTTATTGCAACTCTTATTATTCTTCTTTTAATTTTGAAAATATCAAGTAATTTATTTCTAACACCCTTACCCATTAGTCATGGTTTTACTCTCTTTTACATCCTGTTTTAGACAATTAAAAAAAAAATAAAAAATTATATAACTTTTTAGACAGGTTCTTTTTTTAGTTTTGATATTAAAACTTATGATTTGTATGTTAGATGTTTAGCTATATATATATATATAAAATCGACATACCCTAGTCGTACCCGTACCCTACATTTTTAAGAATTTGCCGTATCGACATACCCGTATCGCACCCGCACCCGCACCCATGTTTCATAGTATATAAGTGATGTACTCGTACATTTTTGGCAAACACTTGAAGTTAAAGAAGATCATCTGAGTCCTTTAGTTCTACATCCCTCATCTCATGGTAAGATACAATAAAAACACATCAGTAAGTGCTACTCTTAATGTCCTGGGAACACAAAATGCCTCAACCTATCTCTCTTTACTTTATCCTCCCTCTTCCTTGATTCATAACTTTTAGTAATCGCACTTGTTCCTCAATCTATCTTTCATTCAATTCTTCACCTTACATTAGCAAGATTGTCTTTTCACCTTACACAATCATGTACAAATTTCCATAATGTAAAAACAATGCTTGAATAGTGTTAAAACCCAAAATGAAAAACTAATATCCCCTCCAACAGAAAACCAAGACACCAAACAAAACAGAATTCAAAACCATAATCCATGTCAAAATCAGACATTTAATATCATGTTATAAAAGATACCACTGTAGAAATTCACATCCATAACACTACAAATTATGAGACCTGATTGGATCCTAAAAACCAATTCTGTACATTAGCTTCAACAATGAATTGCCTTCCGCACCCTAAATTACCTTCAGAACCCACGAAAAAGAAAAGAAAAAAAAAATGGCTATCAGACATGTTATTTATCGACAGTATTTAAGGTTGACGTTAACCAGTAAACAAAAATAGTGTGTTTTCTCATCTGAATTTGCGAATACATGTGATGTGAGGAATAAGATACGATACACAACCCTACTGAGATACAATGCAACAGAGCAGATCGTGAAAGCTTTCAGTGTGACCAGAAAATGATGAGAGACAAAACTCACAGGGGCGTCGTTGCTGGAGATAGCTAGATCGACGGCGATTTTAGTCTCGATTCCGATCAGAGAGAGAGAGAGAGAGGTCCAATCCAACGAAGCAAGGCTACAGAGAGAGAAGAAACTATGTTACTGGAAATAGCCAAGTTCAGTCTATCTTTTGCTTCTTCAGTATTGTTTTGGGCTTTCGAAATTCTGTGTGTTGGGCTTCTTCTGGCCCAAACACATGATGGGCTCATCTTGGCTTGGAGCAAAAAATGGATGGTCCCTTTTCTCTCTCTCTCTCTCTCTCTCTCTCTCTCTCTCTCTCTCTCTCTATCTCTTCTTTTTCTTTTTCTTTTTTTTTCTTTTTTTCAAGGAGTTAATTACACTCTTCACCAGGCATATTTATCTATCTATCTATCTATATATTATATAAGTAAAAGTGAATTTTCGTGAGAAATTTTGTGTAACTTTAAAATTTTATAATAAATTTGTGAATTTATCAAATTAAAAAATAAATTTAAAAATAGTATTGGCTAATCCATTAAAATAATAATTTTCAAAATATTAATAATTCCATAATTTATAATTTTCAAAAGAAAAGATAAAAAAATATTTCATATCTTTTCAACTTAATGATTTTTATTTCTTTTAAAAAGAATTAAAATATATTTCTTACTATATTACTATATTATTCATACCATATATAATTACTCTCGAATTTTTAAAATTGATGATAAAAATTAAAAAAATTAAAAATATTTTAATTTAATTACACAAATTTAATTTCTTTTGTACCCCAGTCAAGATCCCCTCGTTACACTTCCTCCTTGCATTTTCTACTTGCAGGGCCTTCGGGCCTACTTTTAGGGCCAATTTTGATAATCCGAACCGTTTATATTTTAAGACTTATTCAGTGTATCATACCTGTAAAAAATCAAGTTGATCGGATATCAAAAAACATGTGTTCGGAAAACTGTTTATTAAATTCTTTAAAACAATAGTTTTTAGTTCGATTTTTCAGAACACATGCTTTCTGATATCCGATCAACTTGATTTTTTACAAGTATAATATACTGAACAAATCTTAAAATATGAACGGTTCGAATTATTAAAATTAGACCTAAAAATGGGCCCAATAACCTTGTAAGTAGGAAATAATGCAAGGAGGGCATCCTAATTCCCTTGCACGGAACCCACCAGCACGTGTTGTCTACTTTTTTTCTTTTTTTCTTTTTCAGGTTCATGAGCTCTCTCTATGTTCACAACAGTTGAAATGTAACCATGGAAAACTCAAACAAATCAATTGATCCCAATAGTGGTTTCTACTCACAAACAAAAATTTTCCATAGCCTCCGATCAACCGTCGTCCTTCCACCACAAACCACCCCTCTTTCCGCCGCTTCATTTGCTCTCTCCCTTCAACTCTCTTGTCCATGGTGCGATCCAACTGCTCTGATCAACTCAAACACTGGCCAACGCATCTTGTACTCCGACTTCATTCAGAAAACCAAAACCCTAGCTGTCTCTTTCCAAACCCTCACCGGCCTCTCCAAAGGCGACACCGCTTTTATTCTCTCTCCTACCTCGATTCTCGTTCTAATCATCTACTTTTCTCTCTTATCAATCGGCATCGTGGTCTCTCCCGCTAGCCCATCTAGCACAGACTCCGAACTTACCCGCCAAATCAAGTTATCAAAACCCGTGATCGCTTTCGCCACGTCAACAACCTGTTCCAGACTCCCAAATCTCCGATTTGGAACGATTCTCATTGACTCATTAAAGTTCGAGTCAATGATGACGAGTTCAACTCGGGAACTCAGCCGAGTGGAAGTGAGTCAAAGTGACATTGCAGCGATCATGTACTCGTCGGGGACGACCGGAGAGGTTAAGGGAGTGATGCTGACTCACCGGAATCTGGCAGCTGCTGTTGCGAGCTATTATGTGCAGCAGGTGGAGGAGAGGGATTCAGCGCCGGTGCTGTTGTATACAATGCCGTTTTTTCATGTATATGGCTTTTTTTACAGTTTGAAGTCGGTGGCGGTAAGCGAGACGGTGGTGGTGATGGAGAGGTTTGATTTGAGGAAGATGATGAGGGACGTGGAGGAGTTTAGGGTGACGAATGCTGCCGCGGCTTCGCCGATAGTGGTGGCGATGGCGAAGGAAGATATGGCAGAGGGGTATGATTTGAGGTCATTGGAGGGTGTTGGGTGCGGTGGATCTCCGTTGGCGAAGGAGGTGATTGTTGCGTTTAAGGCCAAGTTTCCATTTGTGCGGTTGTTGCAGGTCAGTTTCGAGTTCATACTTGTTTTGGATTTGCTTATTTGGGTTTTTTTTTCTTTAAGTGAATTTTTTAAAAAAGTTTTAAACTTTTAGACATACGGATGAACTAAAAAATTCAAAAATAAGCAAAAAAATATTACTCTTTTTATATAAAAAAAAAATTAAAATTTTTTAGATTCAACTCCACAATACAAATTAGAAAAATAAAAAATTTTGACATAATTTTAAAAAAAATTTGCTCCAAACAACAAAATTCAAAGAAAGATGTAGCTTCTTTTAAGTGCACTTTTTGTTTCGGGTGTCCTAAATAAGTGTACTTTTTGTTTTTTTGGACTAAAAAATTAAGGAAAAAAATATGGATGAACTAAAAAATTCAAAAATAAGCAAAAAAATATTACTCTTTTTATATAAAAAAAAATTAAAATTTTTTAGATTTAACTCCACAATACAGATTAGAAAAATAAAAAATTTTGACATAATTTTAAAAAAAATTTGCTCAAAACAACAAAATTCAAAGAAAGATGTAGCTTCTTTTAAGTGCACTTTTTGTTTCGGGTGTCCTAAATAAGTGTACTTTTTGTTTTTTTGGACTAAAAAATTAAGGAAAAAAATATGGATGTTTGGGTTAGCTTTTTGATTTTTTATAAAAAAATATGTATTAAAAAATTGTATAAAGAAGTGTGTAGGAGAAGATTGTGTAGGAGGCTGTACGGACGGGCGATGGAGTCGACTGGTTGAGTAGATGAAAAAATATTGTCTCCTTCTCAGGCTTTGATTGAATGGTGTTGTTTGGCGCGTGAGGGCCCACCACGGGTCCCTTTTTTTAATCGGAACCGTTCAAATGTGTAGAACTCGTCGAGTACTATATATTTATAAAAAAAATCACGTTGATTGGATATCGATAGCTATCTGATCGTGTTAGTTTTTTTTGTTAATTGTTAACTATAACACCATCCATATTATACAACACTAATTTGATCATGTAGCTAGCGATATCCGATAAACGTGATTTTTTACAGGCATATAGTACTAGACGAGTTCTACATATTAACGGTTCAGATTATCAAAACGGGACTCATGGTGGCCCCCACGGGCCGAACTTTATCATCCAATTTAGTTTGGGGCACACATGGAAAAAAAATTTCCTTCCTTTGACTGACTAGTTCATCTCGTCAGTGGCCGAAAAGTTGATTTGAATTTACATTTGTATATTATTTTTTTAATGTTTTTTTTAATGAATAGTAATAACTTTTTAATTTTTTTGATAACTTTTTCGCTTTTTGACTTTTTCTAAGGTTGCCAAACCAACCCTAAGTGTTTCCAAACACCCTTGTCAACTTCGGTCATAATTTTTTTTTTTTCCTAAATTATCTGGTCATAAATTTTTTTTTCCTAAATTATCTGGTGTCTAGGTCTACTTACGTGTATGTCAACTAATTTCGAGATCCTGAGTAAATAATTTGAATAATTCAACAAACCTCTTGTACTTTCAAGGTTTTGAATAACTATGATCATAGTTTGTTATAGGTTTGAAAGTTAATAATCAAAACACTAGTAAAATTCTATTCATATGCATAAATTTTTCACAAAGATATTATAAAAATAAAATTGTTTATTTCATTTTCAAAACCAATCTTATCTTTATATATGTTTTTTTGAAGAAAAAAATGAGTAAAAATGTTCATTTCACTCGCATGTCAATAAGTTAGATTTGACAGTTACCAATTAAAAGTAAACTTATATATCATTTTTCTTAAAATAATTAGATAGGATTTGTAATTGTTCCAAACAATGTGATCCGGCTTCATCCACGCCTGAAAGTGGAGAACTATGAAGTAATGACAAGAAGTTATGAATAGTGTACTAACTGATTTTGATGCAAAATGCAAAGGCTTATGGATTGACTGAATCAACTGGGACAGCGTTCCGAGCAGTGACTCCAGAGGAATGTGAACGTTGGGGCTCAGTGGGGAGGCTTCTAGGAAGCTGTCAAGCCAAGATTGTAGACCCCCACATTGGAATTGTTTTGCCTCCATGCAACCAAGGGGAGCTTTGGATCAGAGGACCCATGATTATGAAAGGTGACGACCCCACATTTGGGCTTAATTTAACCTTTTTCTCCTTCTTATCTTCCCTTATCAAATAAAGATGAATCAAATATAAATCCTAATCCAAACGCAGCCTTCCAGTCATTAAATTTGCCTCGAGATTTTTATATAATTCAATTCTTGGCTATATTTGGAAGCCATGAGTTGAAATATTAATAAACAAATACTATTGACATTATAATAAGAGATTTGGTGATAGCCTCCTCACTATCTAATTTGTCTTTCAAAAGGACAATAATTATATAAATACTTTCAAAACCCCCTAATATTTTAAAACTTGTTTCTTTTACTATATTACCCTCATATCTATCAGCTCTTCTATTAAGCCATCTTCACTGTGTATTTCAGAGTAAAATTTTACTCTGTATGAAAGTAAAATTTTACTCTGAATAAGAGTAAAATGTTACACTTTGAAACTAAAAGTAAAATTTTACTCTGTATGAAAGTAAAATTTTACTCTAAAAAACTAGTAAGATGTTAGACTCTATACAAAAGTAAAATTTTACTCTGCATAAAAGTAAAATTTTACTCTAAAAAATGAGTAAACTGTGAGACTTTGAAGTTAAAAGTAAAATGTTACTTTGCACAAAAGTAAAAAAGCGAAGGCAGTGTTTGCGGCGGCTGAAGTGTTTGGCAATGACCACCTCTTGATAGTAAAATTTTACTGTCATTCCAACACCAGAATAAAATTTTACTCTAATTCTCTCAAACAAAAAACAGAGTAATAGAACAAGAGTAAAATTTTACTCTCATTATCTGAAACGAAAAATAGA